GACAGGGTCCACTCGCCCAGGGGACAGCTGGCAGACCCACCGCCCAGGCTTCCAGGGCTTTTCCTCCGGACCGGAACCTCCAGAGGCAGAGGGAAGCCTGGGACTTTGGCGGCCCCCAAGGAGCGGCGGGTTTTAAACTGAAAGAAGCGCTCGCCCGCAGCTGTCACGCCGGCCCTGGCCCTGCGCGCGCGCGCACACACGCGCCTCCCCGGCTCCCCTTGACTTTCGGGGACCGCGACCCCTACGCCGGGCTCCAGCAGGGCGCTGAGTGAGGCCCGACCCCGCCGCCCCTGGCCCGGCTCGGCCTCCCCACGCCACTTACCCGGCCCGGAGCGAGCAGGAGCGCGGCGCCGCGGGCAGCTGGGGCCGAGCCGCCCGCCCTCGTCCCTGCGTCCCGGGCGGCTCCGGGGCGGGGCCGGGCCGGGGCGGGGCCCGGACACCCGCGGCCGCTCCCGCCCCGCCGGGACCCGCCTGCGGCCCGCGGGATGGCGAGGCGCCCGGCAGAAGCCCGCGGCTCCCGCGCGAGGGCCGGGGGCCCGGGGACGCGGCGCACGCAGGCTCCGCAGGGGCTCATCCTCTGGAGTGGCGCGCAGCCGCCTCTGCCTCCGGGAAAGTTGGGTCTGGGGCGGGGGAGGGGGAGAGGCCGGCAGCTTCTGCCACCCGGAGCCCAGGTGAGGCGTGAAATGCGGGAAGGAAGTGACCTCCGCAGCCGGCCCGATGGGCGGGGGCGAACTCCCCGTGCGCCCCTCCCACCCCAGGTCCCCAGAGCCGCAGGGAATAGGAATCCCACCCTCAATGGGAGCCTCGGGCAACCCCCAGGCCCAAGAATGTGCGTCCCCGAGCCCTCCCCCAGCTCTCCAGACACCTCCCCGCCCGCTCAGGGCCCGCAGCCCTTTAACCTGGCCTCTGAGGGCAGAAGCCTAACCTGCCCCGGGCCTTTACACCTGCACTTGCCCTGGGCAGGGCTTCCTCCCACACCTCCCGTGGGGCTCCTCCTGCTTGCCGGAGGCCTTGTCGCCTGTCTCTCTGCACCTCTGGGCCCAGGTCTCAGGGCCACTGGCCTGGCCAGCCCGGCTCTCGGCTCTCGTCTGTTTTCCCAGTGACTGTGTCTCTGAGTGATTGGTTCTGTCTCCTGGATGGGGGTGAGCTGCTAAGGAGGACAACGCTCCTCCAGCCTGCAGGGCTTAGGGACAAGAACAGGGGACTCTGGAGAGAGGTGACTGCCCCAACCCACTGCTTCCAGGGGGTGTTTCCTCCTGGGTCTCGTAGCAGGTCTGGCCGGAGTTTGTTGACTAAACCAGTGTAAAAGTCAGTGTCCTAAGAGACTGACTTGTGAAACAGGACTGTGTTGTAGTGTGTGTGTGCGTGTGATTGAAGGACAGGGTAGAGGACGTAGCCAAAACGCACACATGAGGAGCACTGGGGCAGACCTAGCTTAATCAGAGTGGCAGCCACGCCCCCTAGGTGAGAGCGCGGGCAGCCAATCAGGGCTGTTCTCTGGGACACTGGAGTCGAGGATAAAGGGCCTCGCCCACCGTCGCATTTGGCAGGACCCAAGTGTCCTGGCCCGGGTCCCACCACCAGCCTGACAGCATCGGAGAGGTCGCCGCGCGCCGTGGGGCCCCAGCTCAGCCGGCACCTTGGATGCAGGTGGTGATTAGCCGTCATTAGAGAGCCGTGCCGGGATGACGCTCTCTACTTTACAGGTGGCTTTCAGGTGTGTCTCCTTATTAAGTCTTCAGAGCTCCTTGGGGTGTTAGGAAAGGTTTAATGAGTGTGTCTTGTGAGGGAGACAAAGGCACAAAGAGGTCTGGTGATTTGCACAGGGGCGGGGCGGTGGGGCCCGTGCTGCCCGGAGGGTGGAGCCGCGGACTGCTGGAGTGAACACCCCGCACGGACCCATGGCGAGGGGCGACTGACGGCTGGCAGCAGGACCCTGGCGCCCAACTGCCCCCATGAGAGACTTTCAGCTGGTTCCTCACGCCTGGTTTCCTCTTCTGTTAGATGAATCTAATGATAGGAACTTGACTCGTGTGGTTTCGTGAGCTCCCGGCGTACGTGGCTGTTCTCCGGTGGCCTGGTGGAGGGTGATTGCCATGGTTTCTGGCACACAGCAATACGGGCTTTCAGCACCTACTATGTGCTAGTGCCTGGAACTACGGAGGAGAGTGAGGCACAGACTACCACCTCCCAGGAGGCCACGGTACAGGGGTCCTGTGTCCGGGACAGGGTAGCGCAGGGCAGAGATGACCTGCCCCTCCCCCCAGCTGCCACAGCACGGACCCCAAGCTCAGAACAGCGGAGAGACTCAAATCCCAGGCCCAGCGTTGCTGCTTACTATTGGCGTGAACCTTGGCAGGCTGTGTGACCTTCCCAAACATGACTTATCTCACCTGTTAGATGGGAATAGCAAGATCACGGGAGAAAATACTTGACAAACCGCGAGACCCCGAGCAGATATTAGTAGATGCTGTAGATTAGTAATCTTTGGCTGCATGGACTTTTCACAAACTTCCCATCCAAACCACGACCTTGTGCTTGTGTGACGACAGTCGGAGTCCTAAGGAGAAAGGGCTGAGCAGGCAGCGCGGGAGGACGGGGCACCTGCAAGCTGGTGAGGCGCTAGGGATGCTTCAGCGTCCTTAGCTGCGAAGGGCGGGCGGGCAAGCGAGAACTGGGCCAGGGGAGAGCCCCTCTCGTTCCTGGAATCGAGCACAGGAAGCCCCGCCCAAGCCCCCCCTTTCAGAAGCAGAGAGGGAACCACAGCAGGGCTCTGCACCGATGCCGCGTGCACTCGGAAACTCTGACTCACTTGGCAGCGGGGCTGTTTGCGAATGCACAAAACGACTCCCCGAGAAGCAGCGTTTTTACGGCCCTTTCCCCAGGACGCGTCCCCGCCTCCGCTCGGAGGGGGAAGCAGGGCCCGGCTACCGAGCCAGGGGAAACACTGCCCTGTGCCTTGTGCACTTGGCTCGCCCGCGGCGACAGCCGCCCGGCGCGGTGTCTTCAGCCAGCTGGAACCTTTGTCTTTCTTTCCGGCGAACAGAGTCCCTCGTTGTATGAACGGGTAAACTGAGGCGAGGGAGTGTGGAGGAGGGGCTCTGCCCAGGGTGCCAGGGTCCTGATCGGTGTTTTGGAAATTTGCGTTCCCACTTCTGCATCTCCAGCCTGGGTTCCCGTGGTGGTGAGTTGTGTAAGTGCTGTTGGCTAAACACAGAGAGCAAGCTCGCGCTGGGGTGCCAGTTTCCGCGGTGCTTGGCGTCAGCGTGGGCAGCCGGTTCTCGCCCCAGCTCTCCGCCCCTTCGTCTTGCTGTGTTTTCTGCTTGCCAGTGCTCCAAGTGGCTGCCTCTCTCTCCCACTCGGGTCCACATGTGTTTCCGGGGTGGGTGGCTCACTCTCTGGTTTGCCCGCTTCTCTGGCTTGGTGGCCTCCCGTGGGGCAGCTGCCAGCCCACAGTGAGCTGTCTCAGCCCTGAGCCTGGGGACTGGAGCCTGTAGGATATTCCTTGTGTGTGTTTCACTATGCTGCTTTTATAAGATAAAACGTAGAGGGTGTGGGGAACCCAGGACCGACGCCTCGGACCACTGTCCTAGCCCTCGCGGGCACTGCTTACTGGCTCTGTGACTCTGGGTCACTCCTAAATCTGTCCAACGAGACAAATGGAAAAGGTCATCTCTACGTTGTTCCTCCAACTTTAAAATCATGAGGATCTTGGCAATATTAGATAAGAGCATCATTTAATACAACTAAACAGTCATCATAACACTCTAGGAAATAAGTACTATCATTAGCAAAAATGTTAAAGTACAATTGACAAACTTTTTTTAAAATTATTTTTGAGGGCTGTTGTGGGGTAGTAGATTAAGCCACAGCCTGCAGTGCCAGCATCCCATATGGACACCGGTTCGAGTCCTGGCTGCTCCAATTCCCATCCAGCTCCCTGCTAATACGCCTGGGAAAGCAGCAGAAGGTAGCCCAAGTGCTTGGGCCCTGCACCCACGTGGGAGACCTGGGTGAAGCTCATGGCTCCTGGCTTTGGCCTGGCCCAGCCCTGGCCGTTGTGGCCACTTGAGGAGGGGACCAGCAGATGGAAGATCCAGAAGTGGGAGGGAGTGAAGACTCAAGTTGGGGGGGGGGGGGCGGGAGAAGCCCTGGTTAAGGGAGTGAGCTGTGCCTTAAGGACGGAGGACTCTAATTAGACTTGCCATTTATGTTGGTCTTTTATTTCCTTTCTAAATTTTATTTGTAAAAATGTGTATATTTACCATGTACTAAGGGCTTCCAATGTGGAAAACACGGGGCTCTTAGCCTTTCCTACTTCCTCCCGTCACCCTCATTACCACCAGACAAGGTGGCCACCGTCACCTACCCATGTGCCCATGAGGGAATGGAGGATGACAACTCGGCCATCATCACACAGCCATCATGTGACTCATCGAGAGCTCAAACCCCACCGTCTGGCCCCAGCACCCAGCATTCTAACTCCTCCAGCTCTGTGTGGCTGGTGGCAATAGTGGAAGTCAGGATTAAATCCTGGCCGGCACCACGGCTCACTAGGCTAATCCTCCACCTGTGGCGCCGGCACACCGGGTTCTAGTCCCAGTTGGGGCGCCGGATTCTGTCCCGGTTGCCCCTTTTCCAGGCCAGCTCTCTGCTGTGGCCCGGGAGTGCAGTGGAGGATGGCCCAAGTGCTTGGGCCCTGCACCCGCATGGGAGACCAGGAGAAGCACCTGGCTCCTGGCTTTAGATCAGTGCAGTGCACCAGCCACACGCATCAGCCATAGTAGCCATTTGGGAGGTGAACCAACGGAAAAAGGAAGACCTTTCTCTCTCTCTCTTTCTCTCTCTCACTAACTCTTCCTGTCAAATAATAAATAAATAAATAAAATAAAATAAAGGATTAAATCCTAGTCTCTTTCTTAGGTTATGTTTCCCCACAGAGCTCTGTTGAACTCAGGATGTTAGTGAGTTTTTTCTGGGTCAAGGTCATGGATGAAATGCTAAAACACCTTGTAGCAGCGTTTGCAGCAGGAGAGACTGGGTGAGTGTGTGTGCGTGTGTGTGTGTGTGTGTGTGATGTGTCTGCTGCCACAGGGGGCGCTCACCCTGGGGGGCTGACCCTGTGTGTGTGTGCACACAGCAGGACTGAAGCCTCCAGCTATGTTGATATCTGCATTTGCAGCAAGGAAAACAGCAGAGTTTCCAGCTCTGTACCACGGGACGCGCAGGGGCCGGTTGTGCCCGTTTCAGAGATAAATGTGGTTTTGTATTCTCTGAATTGCCGCATCCCCGCTCGGCTACTTCCTGGGCTGTGAGCACTCAGCGGGGGCGAGGCGCCCTTCGAGCGCCATTCTTCAGGATCCAGCAACAGCCTACTGTGGGTTGGCTTGCAGCCCGTTTGTTTTTGTTTTGAAATCTGAAATGCAGCTTTCATAATGTCTGTTTCCAGCCCTGGGGTGGTTGGCAGAGCAAGGCTCCCTGGATCAAAGCCTGCTGGTGGGGCATCTCTCTGGGCTCTGGCGTCTCTGGGCTCTGCGTGTCCCCGCCTCTCGCCTCCACATCCGGCAAATGGGCCCACGCCTGCTCCGTCTTCCCTACGGAGCCGTCATGGGGATCCCGTAGAGTAGGAGGGAGCGAGCGAGCGATCGAGCTGCACCCGTGAGGTGTAGTGGCTGCAGATGACCTCGGCGGAGCTCAGGACAGAGGCCACGCCAGGACATGGCTGCAGGTGAGCACGGCACGGAGGGAGGGAGGAGCAGGCAGCCTTTGCCTTTTGTGCTCCCTGGAGACATGGCTTTTGAACTCTGCCGGTGTGCTTGCTGGGGGGGGGGGGGGGGGGGGGCGTGGCCGCTCTGGACACGTGATGCCATTAGCCGCTGTGTGCTAGGCAGAATTCCCCGGGGGAAGCTGGCTGACAGGCAGGGGCATGGCTGTGGTATAAGCCTCAGGGCAGCGGAACCCAGAGGGGCATCATCCCGTCCCAGATGAGCGGGCGTTCAGTCTTCGGGGAAGTCCACACTTATCCCAGTAAGGGACCTGTAAATGCCAAGTGGGTTCCCGCGTCTGTGAGAACGGGAGGGAGGGAGGGGGCGCGAGGCAGCTCTCCTGCCTGCTGGTTCACTCCCCTAATGCCCTCCACAGCCAGGACCTTGGCACTCCGTCCAGGTCTCCCTTGTGGGCCGTCACGTGGCTCCGCCGTTGAGTCCAAAGGCCCGCCCCTTGGTGGGGATTCTTGCGGGCGAGGACACTTCCCCAACAGACGCTGGCTTTGCTGCCGGGGCCCAGCACCACACAACCTAGCAAGCAGCTGGCTCCAATAACGCGCGGGGAAAACGGCTTTCAGCTGCAGTGCGGGAGCACCGGCCCGAGGCTGTGAGGGGCTTGAGTCCTGAGAGCCGCCCCGCGGCCCTGACAGGCGCCCTGAGCAGACAGAAGGACCCCAGGGGTGGGGGTGGGGGTGGGGTGGGGGAGGGTGGCACGCACATCTCAGAGGTCTCTGCCAGCTCCAGGCCCGCGGGACCGGTTCTCGGCTTCGGAGCTCCTGGCTGTCTCACCGTGCAGAGGCGGCGTGTTTGTGTCACGGGTGAATTTGGCCAACTGGCGGGACGCTGTCTGCGCAGGTCACAGATGGCAGTGACTGCGGACGACAGAGGCTCGCACGCAGCAGGCACTGGACAACTGGACAAACCCCCGGCCCAGCTCTTTCCTGTCCCGGAGCCCCCAGGAGGCTTGAAGAGCGCAGTCAGGGAACGCTGCCCGCTTCAGCCAGCTGCAGCCCGCAGCCCTGGCAGCCTCGCCGCTGCCTCTCTGCGGCTCTGATGGGGTTCCCCTTCCTCCCCCTCTTCATCCTCCCTGGGCCCTGCCCTCCCTGACTATGGACGCTCCCAGGGTTTCTCCCCTGCCCTCCTGTCGCTCTCGCTCTCTCTGGACCGATCCAGACCCCAGGCAACAATCAGGACCCTGGTCCTGGGATCTTAGAGACATCACCGGAAGGCCCAGATGTCCTCAGAACCTGGGGAATCCGAATGCCCAGAAGTGACCCAGGGCCTTGCCTCGGCAGCCCTCCTTCCTCCCCGGTAGTCCCCTGGTGACAGACCCAAGCCCCTCCCTGCACTCAGCCCTCCCCGAGGGGTGCCCACATGCCCTTCCCTCTCCAGTCCTGCCGCAGTCTCCACACTGGCCTGCCTCCCACCCCAGCTCCCCCGTCCTGCCCCGTCATCTCTCCGGAGCGCTGCAGCCTGCACGCCTTCCGGAACCTTCTGTCATCCAGGAGTGCTCAAGCTCCCCGCCCCTTGTGGGACTGAGTGGCTCCTACCCTGTGCCCATCCCAAGGCCATGAGGTCCTTGGGATGAGGGAGGGGTTCCTCCTGCTCCACCTGGCCCCTGCGTGGCACAGAGCTTGTGGTGTCTGCGGTCCATGGGATGAGTTTCACAGTTCGGGATTTGCTGAGTCCCAGTCCTGGGTGCTTTACCGTGTTACGTGGTCTTTATTCCAGAATTATGTATTAGGCATACGCTGGTGCCAGAAACAGAGCTAAGACACCTGGCCACAGAATGAAACCTGGGCAGGGGCTGGGACAGTGGCTAAGGGTGCCATGGGGGATGTCCATGCCCCACACGACAGTGCCTGCTTCTGGTCCAGCTTCCTGCTAATGCACACTCTGGGAGACAGCAGCAATGGCTCAAGTGTTTGGGTCCCTGCCACCCACATGGGAGACCTGGATGGAGTCCCAGGCTCCTGGCTTCAGTGTGGCTCAGCCCTGGTTGCTGTAGGCATTTGGGGAGTGAGCCGGTGGATTTAAGTTTTTTTTTTAAAGATTTTTATTTTATTTATTTGAAAGACAGAGTTACAGAAAGAGGTGGAGACAGAGAGAGGTCTTTCACCTGCTGGTTCACTCCCCAGTTGGCTGCAATGGCCAGAGCTGCGCCTATCTGAAGCCAGGAGCCAGGAGCTTCTTCTGGGTCTCCCATGACTGCAGGGGCCCAAGGACTTGGGCCATCTTCCACTGCTTTCCCAGGCCACAGCAGAGAGCTGCATTAGAAGTGGAGCAGCCAGGACTTGAACTGGCGTCCATATGGGATGCCAGCACTTCAGGCAAGGGCTTTAACCCGCTGCGCCACAGCACCAGCCCCAAAGGTTGTCTTTCAAATAAAGAAGAAGAAACAAACCCCTTATCTGGCATAATGGATGAAGGCTTCCTCTGAAGTTTAATTTTTTCTAATACTGTGGGTGTATGCAGTTTTCATTCTAGTCCTGAACACACCGCACGGTTCCAGGGCTTCTTACCCAGCGCGTGTGGAAGTTATGCTCCTCAGGGGGCCCGCAAGCCTGAACATCCTTCTGCAAAATGGGACCCGCAGACTCCAGATCTCGGAATATCTGCGTGCGTAAGCGCGATAGCTTAGGGACAGGACCCAAGACTACGCCTAATACATGTATGTTTCATACCCACCTCACAAGACAACCTGGAGGTCATGTGGGGCAGTACTTCCAACGTGCCAGTTTTGCCCGTGTCCACCACGTGAGGCCAGCTGTGGAATTTCCGACTTGCAGCGCCATGTGGGTGATTTGGGGGCTTCCGGGTTTTGGATGCAGGACAGCGCCGCATGGAGGCTGCTTGCCTGTCTCTTATCTGCGCCCAGAGTGCCGCTGCTTGCAAAGAGGAAGCCCCAGAATTTCTGGTTCTTATTTTTTCATCTCTCGCTGACCAGCCCCGGATTCCTCCTGCTTTCAGCGTTAGCCTTTTAAACGCACTGCTTCTAATCTGTTGCGGCCTTGCTGTGGAAAACCCCAGGGAACCGCCCCAAGATAGTGGGCTGGGCGCAGCTCTGAGCACCTGGGGACTCATTCCCAGATAGTGCGGGTGATCACAGGAGGGCCCCAGGGCTCCGGAGGAGCAAGGACTAGCGCCCCCTGCCTGCCTGGCTGGGGAAGGCAGAGAATCGTTTACAGAAAGGCCCACGCGCTTCTCTGAGAGCAGAAATGACGGAAATGCCAAGTATAGGAGCAGTGAGAGGGTGGCACGGGCCCTGCCCCCACACAGCCCCAGGGCTGCAGCCGCAGGGCTGGAGGGAGATGAGGCGCAGGGCCCCCACTGTGCTGGCTAGCACAGAGCCGCAGGGCTGTGGCCGCTCCAGCGCCCGTCCGGAGAGGGAGGCGGCGTGCGGCACCCTCTAGCTTGGTCACCCAGTCTTCCAAGGGAGGTGCATGTGACAGAGCAGCCCCCCCGCCACTTATTTTAACAGAGCACAACTGACTGACAATGGTATTTTATTAGAACTCTTTAAAACTCTGAACCTTGATAGGCACTTCCTATCTCCCTGGGCTACATTTTCAATGTACGAGGCTTAGAATTAACAAATGAGGTTTTTGGGCTTTTCCATCATAAAAGGAGAAAAAAATACTTAAAAGTCTTTCCATTTTCTTGCACAAAGACAATGACAGTTAACGTCTCTCCCCATTTCTAACCCGAAGTCCTGGCCCCTTAAGCGGGGTGAAATCCCCTTTCTTTCCAGCTGAGACGTACGTGGCAGCAGTGGGTCCCGTGCTGGCCAGCTTTCATTCTGCAGGCTTGCAATGATCAAGACTCAGAGTGAAACCTGACCCATCAGAGACCAGCCACGGCCTGCGATCCGCCTGCACAACCACCACGCAGGCCCCCAGTGTTCTGGCTGCAGGCTCTGCGACACGCGGAGGCCAGAACCTCCCCCGGCAGGAACACCTTCCTAACTGGCTCCCGGGCTGTCACTCTAGCTGGAATGTAACAGTTTGAGTTACAGAACCCATCTGCTACTACAGAAAGAAACAAACACAAAATTTAAAGTCACTCGTTAAACAGTGGGTAGAGGGAAAGCCAACAATTCTTTCATCGCCTTTAATCAAAAGCTTTTTTAATGTAATTTTTGTAATTACCATTTCATATTTTTATTTTTTTTTTAAATTTTAACTTTTCTTAATTTGAAGCAGAGGGAGATTCTTCTACCCACTGATTCACTCTCCAAATGCCCACAACGCCAAGGGCTGGGCCTGCCCAAAGCTAGGAGCCCAGGAACTTAAATTAATCCAGGTCTCCCAGGTGGTGGCAGGGACCACAGTACCTGAGCCAGCACCTGCTGGCTCCTGGGGCGCACGTCAGCAGGCGTCAGGACTGGAGCCCTGGAACTCCACTATGGGCTGCAGGTGTCCCAAGTGGCACCTGAGCTGCTGTGTGACACTCCCTTGTAAGAGGCAGGACTTGGGCTTCTATCTGTGGAGTAAAGTAAGCTTTAGAAGCCTGAGGACACAGAACACAGGAAGTGAAAAGCTAGGAGAAGACTTTTTAAATTGGATCTTTGCATTGAAGTTGCTGCCATTTTAATTCACAGAGCATAAAAAAGTCACTCTCTGCCCAGAACATCTACAGGCACGGACAGCAGAGGCCACTCAGGTCTTCAATTCTGCAGAGAAACTCAGAGCGAAGCCGACCCCCGGATGTTGTGAGTAAACGCGAGACAGAAGGGAGACCAAGGCGTGAGAGCTGTCACCCGAGGGCTCACGCAGGGTCCCGCGAATTCACGTACGCAAACACTGCTTGAACAAGACGTACAATACACATGCGAAGACACACCTGCGCCTCAGAGCAGAGGAACACGGTGCAGGGGAGGCCACCACAAAACACACCCAACACCAGAATAAGGGAAAAGGTTTATTGTCGGGTGGCAGGGAACCCCACAGGCTGGAGGCAGAGGGCAGAGAAAACAGGTCTCATCATAGCTTTGCAGAGGTAGAAGTGGGAGCTGCGAATTCCACCAGGGTGGGGGTGGGGCTGCTGCCGTGATTGGGCCATTTGGTCACCTGACCCCTGGTAGGCCAGGCTGGGCTGGGCCATTTGGTCACCTGACCCCTGGTAGGCCAGGCTGGGTCCTGGAGAGGCCCAGCCCATTGCGCAAGGTGGCGGCTGGGCCAGAGCCCAAGGTGGCACCCGGGGCTCGAGATGGTGCCCAGATAAGACACCACCATCTTACTACCAGTACAGATTTCTGAAAATGTGGCGACCAGGAAGTGGAAAACAGGAAAGGCCAGAAACCTGGGCAGCAAAGAGTTCCTGAACAGCTGGTGGTGGTGAGGGCCGCCGCTGGGGCCCGGTCACCTTCCGTGACACCCAGGTGCTGATACTCACCCCATCCCATGTATTCCAGACTGAGCCACTCGCACCTCTAGCTCCCCACTTCTCTGCATCCCCTGGCACCCTGAGAGCCACGGAGAACAGGAGCCTAGGCCGAGCGGTCATGATGTGGGCCACTCCCACGGACAGAGGAGTCCCGGCGAGAGGCTCCACCCAGACAGGGCTCTGCCTGGCTCCTCCCTGGTGCTGGCACGTTGATGCCAGCCTAGCACAGACGCTCCAGAATTACTGGTAACAGCTAAGCGCATCAGAGAAAGGTTCTGGGTTCCAACCCTGCTCAGTGGAATTCTGGGTCCCAGATGCTATCTTAGCTCAGCGATGTCTGGCGGCTCCACCCCAAGTGCAGCCCAGGCTGCCAATTTTCTCTTAAAATGACGCTTTTACAAAGCCAGGCCCTTCCGTGGCACACACTGTGACAGCCCCCCCATCTTCTACAAACGGTCATTGCTGAGCACACAAGGACTCGGCACTGGCCACGCACCCTGGGTGGGCGCCGCGTGCCCGGGCTAAGCTGCCGCTTGGGACGCCCAGCAACTCTGCACTTCCCACCCAGCTTCCTGCTAACGCACGCGGGAGGCAGGAGGCCCTGTACCTGGGCTCCCGGCTGTTGCAGGCATTTGGGGAGTGAACCAGGGAAGGGAGATCCGCAGCTCCCTCTCTGCTCTCTGCATTTCAAATAAATACATCCCTTAAAAAAAAAAAATCCCCGACTCCAGCTCACGTCACTTGGGACTGAGATAGAGGAAGAGGCCATCACATTTCCGAGGTTTGTTCCTTTTTACTCTGAAAGGCTGAGGCAGACCTCCCATCAGCTGGTTCCCTCCCTAAACGCCTGCCATAGCCAGGGCTTGGCCGGCGGAAGCCCAGAGCTCGGAACTCCACCGAGGCCTCCCACGCGGGCGGCAGGCCCTCAAGGGTCTGGCCATCACCGGTTGTCCCCTGGGGCGTGCGGCGGCAGGGAAGTGGATTAGAAGTGCAGTGGGCGGCAGGACCCAGGGACCCCGAGAGCTGAAGCACACAGCGGCCTCCCTCTCTAAGACTCTGATGGCTGCCGCGTCCTGCGAGAGTGGTGTCAGACACACACCAACATCTCGCTGAGCCTGCTGGCTCCACCCCCGTCGGCAAGGCGGGGCGCAGCGCCTGGGCTCCCCTCCATTTGCCCCCCTATCACAGCAGCACAGCCTCCCAAACGCTGCGCCTCCTTTCAATTCTGAAAACACAGGTTTCCTCTCAGCCCTCATCTCCAACGACAGCTGGGTTCCCAGCAGCACAAACATCTGACGACCAGGGAAGACGGCAGGACGCGCCACTCTCCATCCCCGCCGGCCTAGGCCTGGGTCCTCAGAACGCCCCCGTGCAAACCCTTCTCCCATGCCCAGGCTGGGAGAGCGGCCTGACCCACGGTCGGCAAGAACCGAGCCAGGCTTTCAGGGGAAACTGCCAGCATTCATTAGACAAGCAAGAGCCACTCGCTGCGACCTCAGCACGAATCAGAGACTCCGGCAGGGACTCGTGGGTCCTCCTGCGAGGCACACCGGACGCCAGGCTTCTGCCCTAACCGCGGAGTGCCAAGTTCTGCATCACGTGTGTAGACCACGCCTGCAATCCCCGAATCTGAAAAACAGAAAGAGTCTTCTAAGAACCGCAGCACTCGTGGGCCTCACATGGAATCAGCACGTACCCCCCCCCATGCAGCAGTGGACACCCAGGGCACCCCCCCCAATGCAGCAGTGGACACCCAGGGCACCCCCCAGTGCAGCAGTGGACACCCAGGGCACCCCCCCCATGCAGCAATGGACACCCAGGAGCCCCCTCAGTGCAGCAGTGGACACCCAGGGCACCCCCCCATGCAGCAGTGGACACCCAGGGCACCCCCCCAATGCAGCAGTGGACACCCAGGGCACCCCCCAGTGCAGCAGTGGACACCCAGGGCACCCCCCAGTGCAGCAGTGGACACCCAGGGCACCCCCCAGTGCAGCAGTGGACACCCAGGGCACCCCCCCCAGTGCAGCAATGGACACCCAGGGCACCCCCAATGCAGCAGCGGACACCCAGAGCCCCCCCCAATGCAGCAGTGGACACCCAGGGCACCCCCTGCAGCACCCAGGAACCCCCCCAATGCAGCAATGGACACCCAGGAGCCCCCGGAGGTGGACGGCCCGCCAGGCTCCAGTCCGCGCCGACAGGTTCCCCGCAAGACCGCCTGGCCGACACGGGCTGCCGCTCTGATTTTAAATGCGAGCACTCCCGTAGCACCCAGACTCGTCACCCCCCGCAACTTTCAGTCGTTTGTAGCAGTACTTAGTGTCCGACAGAAACCACTCGGTCTGCCAAACAATATCGCGACTGCAAGGCTTCTCTCACTGTTGGCGGATCGATGATGACACGGCACAGCCATCACCCCCGTGGCAACAGCTGCCAGGAGCTATCGGAGGAAAATTGCACACGGAGCCGCCGGCTCTGGGGCGGCCATGCCTCAGCTTCCTCCGGGCTATGCTGTGTCTGCAAGCCCGGTGCGCGCTGGGGACCTCCGACCCCGCGCGGCGCCCAGGCTGCAGCCGCGGCCTCCTCCCGCCACCCGAGCGCCCACCGCGCTCCGCACCCCGCGCCCGGCACGGCCCAACTGGCTACCTTCTCGGCAAACGCCGCCCGAGCCGGGACCCAAGCGCTCAAGCGGGCTGCAAGGCCAGGGCGCCCCGGCGAGACGGCCTTGCTGTTCCAGTAGCCACCGCACGCCGGCCGCCCGGGCCTCAGCTCCCGCTGGGCGGCGGGGCCCGAGTCTCCGGCCCGGGCTGGCCCAGGTCCTCGGCCGCCGCCCTTCGGCCGCTCGCGAGGGCGGGCATTTATGCGGGAGCGAGGAAGATGCCGGCCGGCGCTACTCCTCTACCTTCCCGGATACCCGCGCCACGCGCCGGCCCGCCGCACTGTCATGGCAACCCACTACGGCCGACACCGGAAGCAGAACCTTCATCTGGAAGTGACCCTATCCCAGAGTCCCAGGCGCCGGGCGAAGCCCCGCCCAGCGTCTTCCCAGTCGTCCCCAGTACCCCAGCTGGTCCCGCCCGTTCTCAGGAGAAAGGGCGTCTTCCCCTTCGCTTTGCCTCTGTTGCCGGGCAGCGTGGCCCTAATGGACATCCAGGCTGTCCAATCAAGCGGCAAAGATGTTGCCGACGGCCAATTGTAAGGTAGCAGGATGCTATTCCAGCGTAAGAACCACCTCCCACTTGGCGGAGCTGGACGAGTCACATGATTGGTTGAATCAAGTAATTGCGGGCCAGTATTGTCCAATGACAGAGAGCAGTTCGGCGCAGGCCCAATGAGAGGCTGCGGGAGGCGGGCCCTCCGCCGCGAGCCCGGGGACAGCTCCCGGTGGTTCTCCGAGATCCCGAGCCGTCTAGGGCTCCGGCGAGGGTGCGGGCATGAGCGGGTCCCTGGGCCGGGCGGCGGCGGCTCTGCTCCGCTGGGGGCGCGGCGGAGGCCTGTGGAGTCCGGGCGTGCGGACGGCGGGCTCAGGCGCGGGCGGCGGCAGCGGCAGCGGCTCCACGGAGCACCTGGACGCGCTGGTGAAGAAAGACAAGGTGGTGGTCTTCCTCAAGGGGACGCCGGAGCAGCCCCAGTGCGGCTTCAGTAACGCCGTGGTGCAGATCCTGCGGCTGCACGGCGTCCGCGACTACGCGGCCTACAACGTGCTGGACGACCCCGACCTCCGGCAAGGTCAGGCCCGCGGGGCGGGGGACGGGCCGAGGCCCCCGGGCCGGGCGGGGTCGGTGCGGCGCGAGGGCTGTGGACCGAGGGTCCGGGGTGGGCGCGTGGTTGCCTCGAGCCGAGTCCTGCGGTCTTGGGGTCTGGGCTTGGGCAGTGGCGAAGTCCCGGGGGCTCGCCCCGCAGGGCCCGAGGACGGTGGTCAGCAGCCCGGCTCCGCGCCCCGCACGGCTGGGGGTGGAGCAGAGCCGGACCTGAGGCCGAGGCGAGCACTTTGGGGGTTGGAGAGCCGGGAGACGACCCAGCGACCCTCGTCCGAGGCCGCGTCCCAGGCGCAGGTGTTGATGTGGCAGGAGAGGGCTGGCTGCAGGGTTGGGGGGTCTTAGTTGAGGTCCGGGGCGGGTGGGGGGACCTAACCTTAGGTTTCAGGCGCTCAGGTTGAGGGGCCGACGTTCCGGAGCTTGGCCCTGGGGAGTTATGGAGAGGGGCGCAGCAGGGAACTCCTGGCCCCGGGTGAACTCGCTGCCCCCAGCCTGGAGCCCCGGGAGGGGGGGGCAGGTGCAGCAGGACTGTGGATTTCACCATGTGTGTGGGAGTCGGGGGGTGCTGATAGCCAGTTAGCATTTAGAAAGATTTATTTATTTGATTGACAGAGGGATTTTTCCATTTGTTGGTTCACTCCCCTAGGTGGCTACAACAGCCGGGGCTGGCCAGGCCGAAGCCAGGAGCTCCGCCCGGGTCTCCCACTTGGGCGGCAGGGACCCAAGTGCTAGGGCCATCTTCTGCCATCTTCCCAGGCGCATGAGCAGGGAGTGGGGTTGGAAGCTGAGCAGCCGGGACTCTGGTACAGGACGCCGCTGGCACCACAAGTCGCAGCTGAGCTGAACTTAACCTGCTGTGCCACAGGCTGCCCCCACCCGCCGGGGCGTCTCTTACGTCCAGCTTGGTGTCGGGCAGGGGCCCAGGGGACCTTGTGCTCCAGCTGGGGACTCGGGACCGAGACCCTGCCTCTCCCAAGCCCAGGGCTCTTGTCCAGCTTGCTAAATGGTGGCCCCAGGTTCTGTGTGGGGACAGCCACGACTGGCCGAGGCCGTTCTGTACTGTGCCGAGGCAGGCTGGTGTGTGGAAGGGCCGTGGTGGCCCTCCTGCCCTGGCCAGTCGACTGTACGTCCTCAGGTCGCCTTTTCCATAAAACGAAGATATGAAGGCCCGACGGCAACGTTGGGTTTTGTGAGGAGGAAAGAGTACAGGTTCCACGAGCACATGCGTCTTCGTGTGGCACAGGGAGCTGTTCCACTGTTGGCACGCGCTGGTTCTCAAAGTTCTTCCCCACCTTGTCTGCTCCTTGCAGAACTCTTGGTTCCTGCGTCTGCTGTCACTGCTGGTGGTGCCTAGGAGGCGCCTTGGGTGGAGGCGTGGAGAAGCAGGGTAGCATTGCTGGCTGTCTAATGCAGGCTGTAGTACTGTGTGTGGAGAATTACCTTAACGTTACTGGTTGTATAATACAGGCTACAGTAGTACTGTGCATGGAGAAGCAGGTTAACGTTACTGGTTGTATAATGCAGGTTACAGTACTGTGCTTGGAGAATTACCTTAACGTTACTGGTTGTATAATACAGACTACAGTAGTACTGTGCGTGGAGAATTAGGTTAACGTTACTGGTTGTATAATACAGGCTACAGTAGTACTGTGCGCGGAGAAGCAGGTTAACATTACTGGTTGTATTATACAGGCTACAGTAGTACTGTGCGTGGAGAAGCAGGTTAGCATTACTGGTTGTATTATACAGGCTACAGTAGTACTGTGCGTGGAGAAGCAGGTTAGCATTGCTGGTTGTATAATGCAGGTTACAGTACTGTGCTCTATTTTATAATGCAGGTTACAGTACTGTGCGTGGACAATTAGGTTAACGTTACTGGTTGTATAATACAGGCTACAGCAGTACTGTGCGTGGAGAATTAGGTTAACATTACTGGTTGTATAATACAGGCTACAGTAGTACCGTGCGTGTAGAAGCAGGTTAGCATTGCTGGCTGTATTTTACAGGTTACAGTAGTACTGTGCGTGGAGAAGCAGGTTAACGTTACTGGTTGTATAATACAGGCTACAATAGTACCGTGCGTGTAGAAGCAGGTTAGCATTGCTGGTTGTATAATACAGGCTACAGTAGTACCATGTGTGGAGAATTAGGTTAATGTTACTGGTTGTATAATACAGGCTACAGTAGTAAGCAGGTTAGCATTGCTGGCTGTCTAATGCCGGCTATGATGCCGTGCACGTGCTGGCGACTCCTCTGCCCTCTCGTCCACTGGAATGCAGCCGGTCAGGCCCTGGGCTTTATCAGGGGCTGGCGGCTGGCTCTGTGGTCTTCATTCACGGCAGCTGCCTGCCTGCAAGATAAGAAGGGAGTGACCGCTCTGCTGTCGGCTGGGCCCCACCTGGCGCCCGGCCAAGTGCCGACAAGTTGTGTGGTTGACATCTCGCTTCACATAAGTTCTGAGGGTCTTCGGTGTCTAAGCTCATGTTCTGTTGAATGTCACTGGACGTGGACCGTCCTGGATTATGGCCGATGAATTGCAAGTAGAAGCACAAATCGGGTTGTTTACTGTTTAGCATTTGTGTTTCTGTCTTCTATCTTATACATCTGGCTTCCTATATTTATTTTTTTTTATGATTTGTCTATTTAATTGAAAGGCAGAGTTACAGAGAGGTACAGAGAAAGAAGTCTTAAATCCACTGGTTCACTCCCCTAGATGGCCGCAATGGCTGGAGCTGTGCCAATCCTAAGCCAGGAGCCAGGAGATTCTTCCGGGTCTCCCATGCGAGTACAGGGCCCAGGGACTTGGGCCATCTTCTACTGCTTTCCCAGGCCATAGCAGAGAGCTGGATGGGAAATAGAGCAGCCAGGACTAGAACCGGTGCCCATATGGGATGCCGGCACTGCAGGCATATGGCCTCACCCGCTACGCCACAGTGCCGGCCCCATGTCTGCTTCTGACAGAGCAGCAACAGGAGTTCAGCCCTGAAATCTCTGATTGTGGAGGTGAGGGCGGCCGAACGGTGGGTGAAGCTGTTGCCTGCGACACCTGCCTCTTAACAGCACTGCTTCGAGTCCTGGCCGCTCTGCTTCTGATCCAGCTCCCTGCTCCAGTGCTTGGACCCCGGCCACCCACGTGGGAGACCCGGACGGAGCTCCAGGCTCCTGGCTTCAGCCTGGCCCAGCCCTGAGTGCTGCAGATACTTGGGGAGTGAAGATCTTTCTCCCCTCTCTCTTCTTGCCCACTCTTACTTTGCCTTTCATGAAAATAAGCAAGCATGTAAAAAATACAAATCTGTACTTAAAAAAAAAAATCTCTTGACCACTGAGTTTCATTCGCTGATATGTGGTTGACGCGTGTGTCTGTACCCGTGGGCTGTAACACACACGGCTGCTGCTGCCGGGGAAAGTGAAGGTGAGTGCAGGCCGCCAGTCCCACTGGGACGGGACGTGGGAGCCCGGCCCAGCGAGGCCCTGAGCCTAGCCGGGCGCGGCTTTGAGCCCTAAGACTCCCCTGTGCTGTGTACCGAGGCGAGTGACAGGCTGGCCAGTGCTCGCTGTTGCCAAAGATGGGTTTGTGCGCCGGCCCCAGCCAAGGGATCGCCGCCCGCCACCCGCCGCCCGCCGCAGGGGTGAGCACCCGCCACCCACCACCCGCCACCCACCGCAGGGGTGAGCGCCTGCGGAATTCTCTTTTCCTGCCCCAGTGAAGGCAAGGTCTGAAGGGGCCCAGGCGGGGAGGGGCTGCCTGTGAGTGCCAGGCACTGAGGCACGGGGAGTGGGCGAGGCCTCTTGCCCTCCCCTTCTATCTGCAGTCACACAGCCAGAGCCAGAGGCCGGGGGCAGGCCAGAGCACACCGCTGTCACCCAGTGCCGTCCACGCTTCGCCGTTTGCCGTCCAGGCCAGGTTGCCTCTGCGCAGCGCAAGCTTGCAGCCAGCCCTCAGCCTGTGGCCAGCTCTCCCCTTGCTCTGAAAAACACACGCAGTTTAAATGTGCTTGCTGGATCACCGTTGTTTTCCTTGCGTTAGGAACAGCGTGGTGGAGCGGAGACTCAAATATTTGTGGAATAAACAGCCGTTTTCCACATTGAGAATTTGCCCATTTATCCGCACATTTAAGACAGTGGTAAAAATACGACACCCGTCAGCTGGCTGCCACTAGAAGTCGGACAATAAGTTGTGTGGTTGTGCTTGTCTGTGGCTGTCTCGTGCTGTAGGTGAGAGTGTAGGGTGGTACCCACACGTCCCTCGAGTGTCAGCACCAAGCCGGAGGTGGACAGGGCCCAGACCCAGTGGCCTCACCCCCAGGAGTACAGTCTGGAGTGGGAGGGGCTCACTTCCTCTGTAAGAAAAGGCTTTGTGGGCCGCACATGTTCAGCGCCACCACTGTGTGACAGTGGTCGGGCAGTACATGGACGAATGAGTGTTGCTGGCTTCTGATAAAACTTTATTTACAAAACCGGAAGTGGATCAGATCTGGCCCGCAGGCCGCGGTTTGCTGCCATTGCTAGAGGTGACGCTTGCTGCGTAAGGGACACGCGAAGATGCCCGCTGCCGTGTTGCTGGAAGGGTGGAAAACTGACGGGAGGAAGTCTGGGTTGCTTAGTAGCAGACTGGATAAAGTAGTTCAGTGATGTGATAGAAAACGAAATTGGGATTAAAATGTACTAGAACTAGATTTATTCAACATGGCAAAATCACAAAAATACGTTTGGTGCGAGTGTTGTGGTCATGCCGGTGTCGTGGTTAAGCCACCACCTGTGACACTGGCATTCCATGTGAGCACTGGTTGGAGTCCCGGCGGCTCCACTTCTGATCCAGCTCCCTGCTATGAGCCTGGGAAAGCAGCAGCCAAACGCCTGGGCCCCTGCCACCCACGTGGGAGACTCAGATGGAGCTCCAGGCTCCTGACTTCAGTCTGGCCCAGCTCTGGCCGTTGTGGCCATTTGGAGAGTGAACCAGCAGGTGGAAGATCTTTCTGTCTCTCTCTGAAACTCTGCTTTTCAAGTCAATCAAGTAAACCTTGAAAAAGACTGTGGGTTGAAAGGATGTGTGTACAGACGTTACAGAAGTCAGGCAGTGTGCCGGGCAGGTGCGGGTGCAGTGCCGGGCAGGTGCGGGTGCAGTGCCGGGCCGCTGTGGGCGGCGGTGCCGGGTGCCGAGCCTGGCTTCACCGCGCGGGACTTGGGTGACCCAGCTGCTCTGATTCCCCTCATCCATAGCCTAGGGACAGCTGTACCTCCCTGGTGGGCTCTTTGCGAAGATTAAATAAGGTTATTTGTGGAAGACACTGAAAGAGTAGCCCTTAGCTCAGTAAATGATATTCTTGCTAGTATTTTTCTGTATTTTTTCTCCGTGTTTCTCAGGAAAGTGTTTCCGTCAGGGTGGGACGGAGAGCGGTGATGGGGAGGGGGTTGCACGGGGTCCCTGCGCTGTGCTGGGAGCTTAGTTCCTTTTCCCTGTTATGTCTCCAAGCCTGTGAGACAGCGCCGCTCCCACTTGACAGACGGGGAAGCTGAGGCCGTCTGCGCCGTGTTCACAAGCCAGCAAGCGGGCCTGCCTGCCCTGCCAGCGGGCCGCGCTCCTCCCGGGGGGTAGCCGGCCTGGCCGCTGCTTCCGGCTCGGGCTGTCTCGGGCCTGACGCCATTCTCGAGGCTAGGGAAGACCCAGATGACTGGTGTGACATGCTCTGTGCGGGGCCACGGAGCCCAGCAAGCCGAGTGGGTGGAGGCCCTGTGGTGAAACCCCAGGAGAAAGGAAGCCGGGGCTGCTGCGCTTGCACAGTCCAGGGTCCAGACCAGGAGCAAAGTCCAGCGCCCTGCAGGGCGGCACTTTGAAAGTGCCTCTGGAGGTTCGGGAGGGGGTGGGCGTGCATCTGCCCTGCCTTCGCCGGCTCAGGCCACTGGAATACTGATTTTTTTTTTTTTTTTTTTTTTTTTTTTTTTTTTTTTGTGGAGCAGTAATATTTGTGTAAACCGATTTTGCAAGAGTCTCCTGACCCCTGGCTCCTCCTGTTTCTCGGTTACATAACTGCGGTTAACCTTTTCTGTCCCAGGTTGAACCCTGTCTGTCGTAGGAAATAGGATTATCTTGAACTCTGTTCTGGGCTATGATTTCCTGAATGGCGGAAGCTGGTCCCTGATTCTGAGTTACTTCTGGTGATATTTGTAAAAACTGTCACAGTAGGTGCAGCTTTTGAGAGCTGCCTGTGGGAGAAATTAACCATGTTGATACAGTCATTGAGAGTCCACAGGGTTCTTTTTAATTGTTCAACCTGCGAACAAGGTCTTTTCTTTCTTGCAGAAGTTTCTCACTTCATTCTATAGGAAACAATTGGGTATTTCCTTAAGTAGTTAAACTTATATCGGATTTCTTTAAAACGGCACATCGCATAGCTTTGAAGAAAGGAGCCAGAGCTTTGGCTGCGCATTACTGGGAACGCAAAGGCGGCTGGTGCACTTCCCCCGGCCCCGTCAGCCAGCGGGCACGCGGGTGCTGTCCGGCAGGTGCTGGCATTCACTGTGGCCTGCGTGTGTTAGGAGGAGTGGTGTGAAGGGGTGGCTTCGTTTGCACAGGGCTGTGCGTGTCGGGTGATGCGGGCTCTCTGGAATCTGTGGTCTGCAGGCTCCTTGTACCGGTGGCCGTGGGGTGGGGGCTCGGTGCTGTTCCCCCAGCTTCCAGTGTCAGGATGTGGGGTCTGCAGCAAAACGAAGTTTCATGAATGAGGCCAGATCGTAAAAGTGACGGACAGATTCACCCTTCTACTCAACGAAGATTTAAATTAAAAAAAATTTGTTTTTTACCTTTTAGGATTAAACATGTAGTTTTGTGGCAGAAATTTTTTTAAAACTTTTAAAATGTATTTTGTTTGTTTGAAAGGCAGAGAGAGAGAGAGAGAGATCTTCTGTCCACTGGTTTACTCCCCAAAGGTCCGCGACAGCCAGGGCAGGGCCAGGGCAGAGCCAAGAACTGGGCACCCAGTTGAGGTCTCCCACGTGGGTGGCAGGGCCCCACACCTGAGCCATCATCTGCCAGCCCCAGGGTGCAGGTTGGCAGGAAGATGGAAGTGGAGCCAGGACTTGAACCCAGGATGGGATGAGTGCACCGTAACTGCTCTGCCACCTGCCCGGCCCAGGCAGCATCTGTGGTATGTGTCAGAATTGAAGGCCCTCACTGGAAGAAACTGATAGAACTTTACTGTCCTAGGAGGATTCGCCATGTCTTAGTAGTTGAAAAACACCTGATGTACACATAAATGGCTCGTGTGTGAAAGGTATTGAAGGAAGCTGAGGAGGTTAAAGAAGCCACTTCGTAGGTGACATCAGTGCAGTCAGTGCCCACAGACTGAGGGAGGGTCGCATTTACACCTGGCCCGCAGCGCACATGCGAGTCCTTCATCTCTGACGCCCACCGTCAGAATGGCCAGGAGCCCGTGTATCCACGCGCTTGGCCTGGAGAGAAGTCCTGATGATGAGTGGTGCTGACCCTTTCCTGGGGACCCGAGACCCCAGAGTGGCTTTCCCAGGCCCGGGGCGGGGCGGGGGGTGGGGGACATGGGTGAGGTGTGCAGAGCAGAGATAAGGCGCCGGCACCCGCGCCCAGGCTGACGCCGCTGTTCAGAGCAGACCCACTGTTTGTGTAGAAGGCACCAACTTTTGAGAGCAGGTGACTTCCATCTCGGGGCTGTTACCTGTGATGATACTGTAAGTCAGCTTGGTCATTTTATTTGGAAAATGTTTGCTAAGAAGTGCTAGATAGAGGGAACACATTTTGTATTTTTAATTTGCATGAAAATCACTACTGATTTGTTTGTTTATGTGCTCCGTTTGGCCAGTTAAAAATAGCTCTGTAGTCCGCTCCGTGTAATCTGTGCAGAGGAGTTATGAGTCGTGCCCTTGACCTTGTGCTTTACGTAGGCAACACAGCCTTCACTGGCGAATGTTTGCAAGTGCATTCGTGTTGGCCTGTGAAGAGAGATGTCCGAGGTCACATGACCCGCTGAGGGCTCGTGGTCTGTGATGGGGAGTTGAACCCTGGCCCGTGTGTCCCTGGGACTGACATGTTGCTGTCCCGGAGACGGGAAGGCAGAAGAGGAGGGGCGCTGGGCAGAGGTCTTTGTGAAGCTCGGATGCGACCTTTGACGCTTGAATGTCCTCCCCCCGCAGGCATCAAGGACTACTCCAACTGGCCCACCATCCCGCAGGTGTACCTCAACGGCGAGTTTGTGGGGGGCTGCGACATCCTCCTGCAGATGCACCAGAACGGGGACCTGGTGGAGGAGCTGAAGAAGCTGGGGGTGCGCTCCGCCCTCCTGGGTGAAGACAAAGACCAGGACTCCAAGTGAGGGCCCGGGCGCCGCCGCCCCGCAGGGCCTCGCCGCCCAGAAGCCCTCGCCGCGCGGCCTCTCCTGCACCCCCTCTGCCGGCTTGCAGGCTGAGGCTGGGTTCCGTTCGTCTGGTGTTCGGGCTGAGAAGAGTCTGCGATGAACCTGTTTACAACACTGTGCCGTAATGATTCAGTGCTGTCTCCCGCTCTCGCTGTAGACGGAGCCTGTTCTGTGGTCACCTGTCCCTTCCCTGACCCGGGGACGCAGATGAGCTTGTGAGTCCCTGCTGTCCGTGACCCCTCTGCTGCTGTGTCGGTCTGCAAAGATAACACCCCCGGTTGTTTGCTCACTTCTCCCGTCAAGGAAAATGGTGGACAGAGAAAATGTGACGACTGGGGTGTGGTTTTTTTAAAATAAACTGCCGACAGCGGGACCCTGTGTGTGCGTGAGTTAATCCCGCTGAGCACAGCCCTGCAGGGCTTTGTGGTGCCTGCAGCCTTGGGAGTGGCATTCCCTTGACGCACCTGCTCCTGAGTTGTTGCAGGAATCGGCCCCGAGCTGCGGCTCGCCAGGGGAGGTGGTGCTCTGAGTGCCGAGTGGACAGTCCAGCAGGAGGCGGGCTGAGCGGAGGGACACGGAGGAGGCGAGGTTGCACCTGCCATCCTCAGAGCCTGTGCTGCAGGGGGGGGCGGGGGGCAGGCATCGGCCCGCGGGGCTGTGGGTGCGGTGGGTATTTTGTTTCTGAGATGATCGGGCCTTTCTGTATCGACACATCAAATCGCCCGGAAGTATGCAGAGTTTTTGTCTAGCGGAGCTGGGTGAGTGAGCGCGTGGCCTCACCATTCAGATGCCAGGGTCCTGTTTCAGAGCGCCTGGGTTCCAGTGCCCTGCGGGGCAGCAGGTGATAGCCCTAGCGGCTGGGTCACTGTTGCCCCTGTGGGGGACCTGGACTGAGTTCCCAACTCCCAGCTCCATCCGGGAAGCTGCTGCTGGCATCTGGGGCCTGAACCAGTGAATGGGTGCTGTCTACATCCCTCTGCCTCTCAGAGAGAAAGAAATGATTGCAAGGTGGTTTCAAGTGGGGCCTTTATAAGAAAGGAAGTAGGGGCTGGCGCTGTGGTGTAGTGAGTAAAGCCACACCCTGCAGGGCCGGCATCCCATATGGACACCGGTTCGAATCCCATCTGCTCCACTTCCTATCCAGCTCTCTGCTATAGCTTGGGAAAGCAGTAGAAAATGGCCCAAGGTCCTCCACCTGCCTGGGAGATCCAGAAGAAGCTCCTGGCTCCTGGCTTCGGATCAGCACAGCTCCAGCTGTTGCAGCCAATTGGGGAGTGAACCATCGGATAAATCATTAATGATTAATAAATCATTAATAATAATAAATGATTAATAAATCATTAAAAAAAAAAAAAGGAAATAATTGGAGTCACAGCAGAGAGTCGGTGTCCAGGGTCTTAGTAAGACGCTCACGGTCTTTGCCTCCCAAGACGGTTAGGGAGGAGCCAGCAGGGCTTCCCAGGCTGGGGGGAAGGGGCCATCCCAGGGCCGGGTCCTTCCTGGTCTCCAGAGCGTGGGTGCAGAAGTGCGTCTGGGGACGGAGCGGGGAAGGTGGTGCATTTGTAGGGATGGGGGGAGGCTGGCTCCTGGCCCCAGCGCCCTCTGGCTGCTTCTATGTTGACCACTCAGTTTCTGGAATGCGCCTGGGGAGCAGTCTGCACACTTCCTGCCTGAGGTCGGGTTTGTGGTGTGAACTGTGCATCCGGTCCGTGGATGCCTTGGAAGTGAAGAGCACGCGTAGAAATCCTAGAGGAGGCTGGAACACGTCGGCGGGATGGAAGAGAGGGAGGGCTGTGGGAGCTGCTGGGTGTGGTGCGCCAAGGCTGTGACCTTGCCCTGGGAAAGGCTTCATGCCGCCCGGGTGAGAACCAGGCAGAGTCGCTCACCCAGGCCTGCACAGGGGCCCTCGGCTTCGCGTCCGGGGTGTAGCGTGGTCACGCTCTGTGGGTTTGCTTCTTTTCCTTAGATCTGCTTATTCACCCCTTAGCTTCGTCTGAAGAGTGAAACGGTGAGAAGCTGACTCGTGTACAAAACGTCCCTGGACTGTCCTTGGGCCAGGAGAAGGCTGCCAAGTGAACAGTTTGGCCCTGAAACTTGTGAATCTTAGCGAGATGCGACCAAGTCACCAGAGGACTTAGGAATGTCAGGAGTCACCCAGCTCTGCAAGACTTGTAAATGCTCTTCCTAGAAGTTAATGAATATTCTTTCCTATCTGGGGCTGGCGCCGTGGCTCACCTGGTTAATCCTCCGCCTGCGGCACCGGCATCCCACATGGGCGCCGGTTCTGGTCCCGGTTTCTCCTCTTCCAGTCCAGCTCTCTGCTGTGGTCTGGGAGGGCAGTGCAGGATGGCCCAAGTCCTTGGGCCCCTGCACCCGCATGGGGACCTGGAGGAAGCTCCTGGCTCCTGGCTTCGGATCAGTGCAGCTCCGGCCGTTGCGGCCATCTGGGGAGTGCACCAATGGAAGGAAGACCTTTCTCTCTCTCTCTCTCTCACAGTCTATAACTCTAGCTGTCAAATAATCAAAACAAAACAAAACAAAAATTCTTTCCTATCTGCTTAGCCAGTCTTTACCCAGTGGGAAATTGAAGATGCTGTCTGATAACTATGATTAGTTATGAAGGTCTGCATAATTAGGATGCACAGTGAGGTCAGAGCAGTGAACCTCAAGTTCCCCAGACAGGTGCACCAGCCCGCGCTGTCTCCACGAGGACAGGATCTGCTCCTAGGCTCCCGGACATGTGGCTGCTGTCAGACTTGTGTTGGGTGTTGTCTGTCACAGCTTGAAGCCGGGTATCCGGTTAGAAACAGATGAAGGTAGTTTAGAAGATTAAACATTGTTATGATTTCAGGTTTTTATGTTTCATGGACTGGTGGTTACATAAATGTTACACTTCATTTATGCTCTATGTTTTGGAGCTATTTCAGGACAAAAGGCAACTTTTAAAAAAATATTTATTTGAAAGAGAGAGTGACAGATTTCCATCCACTGGTTCATTCTCCAAATGGCTTCACCAGCTGGAGTCAGCTACCTGCTAATGGGTACCCAGGGAGACAGTAGTGATGGGTCCCTACCACCCACGTGGGAGACTAGATTGATTGCAAGCATTTGGGGAGCGCATGCACATGTTTTCTCTGTCTCCCAAACAAAAGCAAAATGTAGCAGAAACAGGAATGAGGTGGATTGGCAGAGTTTTGTTGAAGTGAATTTAGGTCAGAGGTGAGAGCTCCCGCATTCACTGATAGGAGAAAGTATGTGTTGGGTTGCACAGAGGCGGCTTTGTTTTCATAGAAGTGCAAATCTTAGGCCCCGGAGAACCCTGTGGGCTGAGGGAGAGCAGAGGCTGGGGAGGGGAGGAACGGGCCTAGGGTCCCGGCACTTGCAGGCACGCCTCGTGTCCTGAGAGCCGCGTCACCTCTGGTCTGATGGGCATCGTGCAACCGCGAGCCGAGCACAGCTGCGCCGGCTCAGCCTGGCCTGAGTCGAAGCCGGCGGCTGCTCCCTGGGTGCGTGCACCTGCTTCCAGGATCCTTTAACCCCTCTGCCAGAGCTCTGGCCTGACTCCCTCCCTTCCCCACCTCCCGGACTCCCCCTAGCAGCACAGCGACACCTCTTAACTCCAGAGCGCCTGCCCTGAGCGCCCCAGACAGAACGGAAGCCTGTGTTCACTCGAGGATGGGACCGTCTTCAACTTGGCTTTCTTTGTGAGAACAGTAGAGAATCCCCCTCCTCCCTTCTCCTTGGACTGGTCACAGGAAGTGACAGCTTATTGAAGTTCAGCCCAGCAGCCTGGGGCAGTAGCCAGGAGCCTGGGCCTGGCTCAGACATCCTGGGTTTGTGTGCCGGCTCCTCCCCCGGGTGCTGCTGACCTCACACCAGCCAGTGCCCCCTTTCTCCACCTGCCTGGGCTTGAGTCGGCTTCCACCTGCACCGCGTCACTCCTCACCACCTGGAGGTCCGTCTGTGCTCATCAGCAGAGGGTTGTGATGGGGCTTCGTGTCCGAAGGTAGGTGCCAAGGTTTCGTCTCAGTGGTCCCGCCGCCCTAGGTGATGGGAGGGCCTTCAGCCCGAGAATTATTTTCCTAAGCAGGTAGTCTGACTTACTGCTACAGAGTGTTACGACCCGTGTTTCCTCCTAGAGTGGGAAGTCTGTTCTGAACTGATTTGTTGGGCTTTGTGTGAGTTAACGCTCACCAGAGCTTGGTCTCACCTTGAGCTACTTGTGGCTTCTCAGCGGCGAGGATGGTGACACCGAGTTCTCCTATCCAGCCGTTGTCGCAGGGTCCATCTCGCCACACGGGGAGGTGGACGCGTGCCCTGGCTCGCAGGAAATTTGCTGCTGAGATGTGGGAAGCCCCTGGCTGCCACCGCTGTGTCCTCTGCCAGTCCTGACAAGGGCAGGCTTTGACCGTCAGTATCCAGTGCTGAACCAGGCTGAGCCCTAGAGCCTGGGGCCCCTCCCTGCCTGGGGCTGAGCCTTCCGCCCAGGGTCGGGTCCCTCCCCTCCTGCCCTGAAGCTGGAGTCTGACACGGGAGAAGCCCAGTGCTTTCCCGGCATCTTGATGTGTGGATTGGAACCCTGGCAACTGGCAGCTTCCTGTGATTCTGACCTTTCAATTGTGTTTGTCTCTTGTCCATCATTTTTTAGTAAAGTCTCCTTAGAATGATTCTGGGGAGGGAAGGGGCTGGTGGTGTGGTGCAGTGGGTTAAGTCAGCGCTTGCAATGCCAGCGTCCCATGTCGGAGTGCCACTTCCAGTTCCAGCTGCTCCACTTCCGATCCAGCTCCCTGCTAATGCAGAAGATGGCCTTGAACCCCTGCCACCCATGGGGGAGACCCGGATGGAGTTTCTGGTTCGTGGCTTTGCCCGGCCCAGCCCTGGCCATTGTAGCCATTTGGGGTGTTAGTGAACCAGTGGATGGAAACTCTCTCTGCCTTTGAGACAGGAGATGGTCCTGTATCGTTTGGGTGAGCATGATGCAATCACCAGTGTGGGCACTGGTGCTGTAGTTAAGGCAGGGCTAGGACATCCTCATCGTATCCCAGAGTGCCTGGGTTCAAGTCCCGTCTCTGCTTCCGATCCCAGCTTTGTGCAGATGGACCCTGCGGGGCAGCAGGAGATGGCTCAAAGTTGGGTCCCTGTCATCCACTTGTGAAACCCAGATGAAGCTCCTGGCTTTCACCTGCCCAGCCCTGGCTGTTGCAGGCATTTGGGGAGGGAACCAGTGGATGGACCTCTCTCTGTCTCTCTTTCAAGGAATAAAAATAAATTAAAACAAAACAGGGAGGCAGTAGGAGCAGAGTCAGAGGAGGTGGAGGAAGAGGCCACACGCCGAGGACAGCAGGTAGCCCCTGGGAGCAGGAAGAGACCAGGAAACCATTCTCCCTGGAAGTTATAAGAATGCAGGCCATGGGGCCAGCGCTGTGGCACAGCAGGGTAACGCCCTGGCCTGCAGTGTTGGCATCCCATATGGGCGCCGATTCTAGTCCCAGCTGCTCCTCTTCTGATCCGGCTCTCTGCTGTGGCCTGGGATAGCAGTGGAGGATGGATGGTCCAGGTCCTTGGGCCCTGTGCCTGCGTGGGAGACCTGGAGGAGACTCCTGGCTCCTGGCTCCTGGCTCCTGGTTTCAGATCGGCGCAGCTCCAGCCGTTGTGGCCATTTGCGGAATGAATCAGTGGATGGGAGACCTCTCTCTCTCTCTGTCTCCCTCTCACTGTCTGTAACTCTACCTGTCAAATAAATAAAATAAATCTTAAAAAAAAAAAACAAACAAACAAACAAAAAAAAAACACGCAGGCCTCAATTTTGGCCCTGTGAGACTGCGGACGAACGACCTCCAGAAATAAAAGAGAAAAAAAATTCGGTTTAAAGTCACTGGGTTTGCAATCACTTGTTACAGACTCAGCTGGTCCCTGGGTTTATGGGATCTCACTCGGTGTGACAGGGGAGAGGGACACAGCATTTGGTCCCCCACCCCCCACCAAAGATCTGCTCCTTCCAGACCGCGGCTGCAGGGCGCAGGGCGCAGGGCGGTCAGACTGTCACCGTCACCGGTGCGAGGTCAGGAGCCAGGAGCAGAGCTGGAGTCTGGGCCGCGTCCCATGTCAGAGGCCTTGCCACACGAGCGTGTCCTCGGCGCAGGAGCTCGGTGAGGCTCTGGCGGGGTGTCTGGGACGGTTCTCCCCACAGCCGCCCTCAGAGCTGACGTCCATCTTCAGTTCCCCATGGCAAGAACCAGGGCGGCCAGGCCTTCCGGGAGACCCCCCAGCAGTCCGCTCTCAAGTCTGCGTGGAGGTGGAGGGTCCGGCGTTCCAGGCCAGCAGCGGCAGGGCAGGCCCGCTGGGCACAGGCAGGTGCACGAGCAGCATGAGGGATGCCCAGGGGAGGCACTCGAGGCTCCGGGTGCGGTGCGGACCCATGGCTGAGCCACAGGCCCCATTGTGCTTCCTGGGAGAAATTCCAAACATGAGGACAGCCAGGCAGAGCTGCCCGGACGACTCCCACCAGCCGCCTGCTCTCCCTGCACTTCCGCCCCGCCCTGGCCTGGTGATCTATTTCTGCACCCGCTCAGGGCCACCTGCTGTCCTGAGTTCCTGCCAGCATGCAGCTTGCCTCTGCCCGTCCTCCATCCACCCCTTAGCCCTCTCCAGTGTCGCCCTTGGCCCTTTGGTCCCCTCTGGTTGTTGGCAACATAGGTAACTATGTTTTAGAACCCCAGTTGCTTGAATGTTTAGTTAATTTTTACTCTGATTGAATAATGCACACACATAAATGGCTCCAATGGTCCTGAAAACTAATAATGAGAATCAGTAGTCTCCTGCCTTTTGCCTTTTTTTTTTTAAAGGTTTATTTATTTATTTGCAAGTCAGAGTTACACAGAGGAGAGGCAGAGAGAGAGAGAGAGGTCTTCCATCCGATGGTTCACTCCCCAGCTGGCCACAACAGCCGGAGCTGCACCAATCCGAAGCCAGGAGCCAGGAGCTTCTTCTGGGTCTCCCAAGTGGGTGCAGAGGCCAAGGACTTGGGCCATCTTCCACTGCCTTCCCAGGCCACAGCAGAGAGCCAGATTGGAAGAGGAACAGCTGGGTCTCCAACCAGCACCCCTATGGCACCCATATGGGATGCCAGTGCTTCAGGCTAGGGTGTTAACCCACTGTGCCACAGCGCCAGGCCCCTAGAATCAGTAGTCTCCTGCCTTTTACCTTTTAACCCATAATCTTGCTCCTGGATGCAACCAATTTCCATTTCTTTCTTTAAAAATTAATTTAAAAATTTGTTGGAAAGTCAGTTACAGAGAGAGAAGGAGACTCAGGGGGTAGGGGGAGTGAGAGCGAGAGAGAGAGAGCTTCAGGCTGGTTCACTCCCCAGATGGCCACAATGGCCAGGGCTGGGCCAGACTGAAGCCAGGAGCCAGCAGCTCCATCTGGGTCCCACATGGGTGCAGGGGCCCAAACACGTGGACCATCTTCTGCTGCTTTCCCAGGCACATTAGCAGGGCACTGGATCAGAAGTGGAGCAGCCGGGACTCTACATTTTTTCTTCTGCTTGCTGCTTGTTATTTATTTGAGAGTTAGAGGGACAGAGAGCTCTCATCTGCTGGTGTAGTCCCCAAATGCCTGCAATGACTGGGGCGGGTCTGGGGCCAAAGCAAGGAACCGGGAACTCGGTCCAGGGCTCCCACAGACCTGAGCCACCTCGGCTGCTGCCTCAGGTCTGCACTGGCGGGAAGCTGGATCCGGGAGCGGAAGTGGGGGTTGAGCCCAGGGTCTGTGACATGGAACGCATGTGTCTGAGCCACCAGGCTGAACACCTGCCTCGGCCTCCTGTTCCCTGATGTGCTCGTGTTGCTTTTGCCTTGCTGATCAGTTTGCGGCGTTGTAAGATTCTGGTAGGCACAGGGTCAGAGCCGCTCAGTCATCACCAACCTCCCCTCCCCACCTCTCCGGAGTCCCCCGTAGTTGTAGCCATAGTCCCTGCTTTCCTATGTCCACTAAGTAGTTGTAGTTGTAGCCATAGTCCCTGCTTTTCTATGTCCACTAAGGGTTCATGGAGGGAGGGGCTCGGAACCCTGCACCCATTTTAGAGAAAGGGCCTTTGACCTGCTCCTGGGAGATAACCCCGGCGCTGCCCGATAAGAGCTTCTGTAGCAGCCGCCGCGGTCCGAGGTCCCGCAGTAGAGGGTCGACCTCTGGGGAGCCATGGCCAGTCCTGTGGCCGCCGCTAAAGCCCTTGGACACCGGGCTCTGGTGGGCTTCCCTGGTTGGCCAGGTCTGCATGTGCTGTCACTCACTGGCCCTGGAGGGATGACGCACCCCACGTGGGGAGGCGGAGTGGGAGCCCTGTCTGGGGCTTCCTGGGGTCTGGGCGCTCTCAAGGGCTCCACCCCATGTACCCGTCATTATTGCTCCTTGAACAAACATGACAGCTTCCAAGTCCTGTGTGTCCTTCCCATGAGCCATCAACCTCTCCCTGCCCCCTCCCCCGTGCAGGGATGATCCTGACAGGGCCCATCCTCCTGCGCCACGGCCAGGCTGACTGCCAGCTGCGGACCCGCGACACTGCCTGTGGTGCTTGTGACACAGCGGGGAGACTGGAGCGTGTGGCTAGCAAGATAAAACTGTCAGCGCACACGGGCTGCCGGCACACCCACCTTCCTGCCGCTGCCGGCTCTCATCTCTCCCATCTCCGAGAGCTCTGCACCTGTCAAGGGCTGTGGTTTCCTGGCTGCGTTCCCGCCCCTCCTAGGGCCCAAGTGCCTGGAAAGACCCCCGGCCTCTGGGCCACGCGGGGACCCCACCCTTTACCCACACGCAGAGCAGAGGTTGAACGACGCCGGGCGAGCTGCCCGGGCTCTCTGCCTCTCACCACTCCGGCGCTGACCGGCAGAGTTGGTGGATAGCGGTGATCCCTCTCGGGCTGGGTCCGAGAGGAGAAATGAACCAGCCCAGCCACTTGACTTCCAACTCCCGTGGGACCGCTTTGAGTGTCTAAATACGAGTCATGGCTTCCCATTTTGCCCAGTTTTTTTGAAAAGTTTAGATTGTTTACGTACAAGAACCTTTGTGCCTGTAGGTGACACAGTGGAACATCAACTATCTTAACTCCATTTTAACGTACACCTAACGTGTTACCCACGAGGGCAGAAGACACAGAGAAGAGGGAGACTGGAGTAGAAGCCCCTGCGTGGCCCTGACCGTGCCCTGAAGATGCCGTGACGCGTGTCCCCCGCCCAGGGTCGCATGCCTGTTCGGGCACTGCTCCGCGTTCCAGTTCCCTCTGCGCCCCCAGAGCACGTCGGAGCTCTGTAGCAGTGATTCTCAGAGTCCCGGGGTCGGCTCCAGTGCAGACTCCGCAGACTCCTAACCAAAGGGCACCCAGTTGCTGCTGGTCCCTGGGCCACAGCCGCAGCACGCTCTTCCCTGGCCGTCTCTGTGTCAGCGGAGGCGGAGCAGCTGTGGGTCTCGGAGCGCCGCCACGGGAAGTTTCTCGGAAGGCCATTGGGATGCTCCGTCTTCCCCTTGTTTCCTGTCGCTGTTTGGCCAGGGGCTCTGCGTGATGTACCCACCTGTCTACCTGTTTGCTTTTTTGTTTTTTATTTGAAAGTCAAAGTTACACAGAGAGAGAAGGAGAGGCAGAGAGAGAGAGAGAGAGAGAGAGAGAGAGAGAGAGAGAGGTCTTCCATCCACTGGTTCACTCCCCAAATGGCCGCAAAGGCCAGAACTGCGCCAATCAGAAGCCAGGAGCCAGGAGCTTCTTCCGGATCTCCCATGGGTGCAGGAACCCAAGGACTTGGGCCATCTTCTACTTCTTTCCCAGGCCATAGCGGAGAGCTGGATAGGAAGTGGAGCAGCCGGGACTCGAACCAGGGCCCATATGGGATGCCAGCACTACAGGTGGTAGCTTTACCCACTATGCCACTGCACCGGCCCCTACCCATTTGCTTTCTTTCTTTTTTTTTTTTTTTAAGATTTATTTATTTATTTGAAAGAGTTACACAGAGAGAAGAGAGGTCTTCTGTCCAGTGTGGAGCCAGGAGCTTCTTCCTGCAAGGGACCAAGGACTTGGGCCATCTTCTACTGCTTTCCCAGGCCATAGCAGAGAGCTGGATTGGAAGAGGAGAAGCCGGGACTAGAACCAGCGCCCATATGGTAGGTATGCCGGCGCTTCAGGTCATGGCGTTAACCCGCTGTGCCACAATGCTGGCTCCATTTGCTTTCTAAAGTGATCTTTAAAAGGCTTGGTTACAAGGGCCCTCGGTGTTCCAGCCGGGACTGTTGATTGCCCCCTGGCTTCCCAGCTTTTGGCCCAACCACCTCGCCCTGGGTGTCTCCGGCTGATGCGGCCTCCCCAGTCAGAAGGTGGACACTGTAAACTAGCAGGGCTGTAAGCGTGCCTGGTAGTGCGAATCTGCCAGGGTCGACTCTAAGGGCGACCTCTTCGAGAGCTGAGTGTTTTCAGAGGCTCGCGGGAATCTTGCCTCAGCCGGGCAAGGGGTTTCTTAAGGGCTGTTCATCTTCATTCCAAAGGCAGAGTGATGGAGGGAGACAGACAGAGTCCACAGGCAGGCTCAATCCCCTGGTGCCCTGTCCACTCGGTCAACGCCTGCAACAGCCCGGGCTGGGCCTAGGGCAGGCTGAAGCCGGGAGCCGGGAACTCCACCCAGGTCTCCCACGGGGGTGGCGGGGGCCCAGCTACTTGAGCCATCACCTGCAGCTTCCTAGATGTATTAGCAGGAGGTCTGGTCTGAAGTGGAGCAGCCAGACTCGAACTGGCCCCCGAAGTGGGGGTGCCATGCTGAGCAGCAGCTCCACCAGCGCCACAGCGGCCGCCCCCAGACCCAGACTGTGCTGTGCCCCCGACACAGCGGCCTCTCCCCGTCAGCCTGGCACCCGCCTCCACTCTTGTTGCCGTTTCTTCCGGGGAAGTAATTCCTTCCCACACGGCTGCCTTTTCTCCAGATTCAGCTCTTACTTCAAAGCGGCCGATGGCCAGCTGTGGCTGGAGACCCTGCTTCCTCCCCCAGAGCCCGGCCAGCGTCCTCTCTCCTTCCCTGTCGTTCCCGGCCTGTGTCAGTTCCTGCCCAAGCTTGCACATGTGTGTGTGTGCGTGTGTGTGTGCGTGTCCATGCGTGCACCTGTGCATGTGGGCACACGTGCACAAGTACGATGGTCACTGGCTCTGTCTGGGACTCGAGCCAGGCCATGTGTTACTCCATAAAACAGAGCCGAGGGCCTGGTTGTGTAGACAGAACATGGTTGAAGGGAGCAGAAGCAAAGAACAGAAAGGCAGATCTGTCACTTCAGGGAGACGGAGCTACAGGAAAACAGCTGACTGGCTAACACCAGGGTGCCTTCTTGTAGAGGAGTCTCCTTGTCCTGCCGACTGGAACTGGCCAGGACTGTGGCCATCACATTTCCCTCCTGATTTCCTGGGGGGTTGGAACTCGGTTTGGGGTCTGCACAGTGGAACTTTTAGTGTGAGTGGTGGTTTGTTGGGCCCTAGTGCAGGAAGAATCCGGTCCAAGACAACGGCCTCCTGGAATCTTTGTCCTTCAGTGTGCATGTGTGCATGGGATCACACAGCTACCCTTTGCCCAAAAATGCACCTCCCAGGAGGGCACACACCGCGTATCTCATCTGAGCACACGCTGAACACACACTTATTGTATAATTAGCTCATGCTCACTTTTCACTTTTATGAAAATGTACCAAGTGGATCCGACTCTCACGGAGTTGGAAACACTAGGGATTTTCGCCTCCTCCAGGAGCTGTTTGCCGAACGCGGTTGTTCCGGGGCGCGCTGCAGAGGACCAGCAGGTGGCGCCGTTTGTCTGCGAATGCGCCCCGTCCCGGCTGCCTCCCGTGGGCTGCGCCGCTCCGCTCGGCCACCCCGAGACCCACTCCGGACCTCCCTGGAGAGCGCCCTCTGTGAACAGCGCATCCAGCAGAGCCCACGTGTCCCCGGGCGCAGCCCTGAGCCCCACACATTCCGCGTTTCCTCCCACGGAAGCGGCCCTCGCCTCCTTCGCAGACACTGGGTTTCCAGGAAGTGCGTCTCGGCACCAGGCAGCACCGTCCATCGGAAGCGGCTCGTGGGCGCGCAGTGCGTTCTCGCAGGTGCATCTTGGAGATGCCCGTTTGACGGCTCGGAATCCCCTCTAGAGACTGAGCCTCCGTCTCTGACCTGCAGCTCATCCTGCCCTGTGTTGATGTCACAGCTTCCCGATGTGACTCCCGCCGTTTCCTCGTGTTTCCCTGGTTGTTGCAGCAGGAGCCCGGCTGCCAGACCTACTGCAGTCCGCACAGAGGAGGTTGGGAGAGCCATTCTGCTGTTGGCATGCATCGCTGTCTTCCAAGCACCTAGGAGAAATATTTGGCACATAGTGCAAAAAGTACCTGCTGAATCCAGTACAGCAGGGGTTGGAAGAGGGCGAGAGTGAGCGAGCTGGGAAGGCTGGAGCCAGGAGCGCGGTCCAGGGCTCCCACACGGGCAGCGGAGACCCAGCTATCGAGCCATCACTGCTGCCTCCCAGGGTCTGCATGAGCAGGAAGCAGAGCCAGGAGCTGGAGCTGGGGATTGAACCCAGGCCCCCTGAGGTGGATGCATACATCCCAGCCAGTGTCTTAACCATTTGGCCAGATGCCTTTATTAATAGGAGTCACAGCTCTGCCTGCGGTCAAATGCTTTGTTGGCAATCCTGGATAGTCACTCCCACAGCATTGCCCGGAAGACCGGGGTCTCGGGCGGCGCCAGGGAGAATGCAGGGAGTGTAGGATCTGGCGGGAAAACCACGCATTCCGACGCCTACAGGTGCAGGTGCAGGTCCTGGGGGTGGGTACACGTGTGGCTGCATCTTCATCTCTAATCCTCGGGGCTCCCTTGTCATCTCTGACTCTCGCCCTTCTCATCTATAAAGTGGGTTTAATAACAGTCTCTACCTTTTGGGGCAGCTGTGAGCAGTGGGTGAGACGTTAGCACAAGCTTTTTGGCTGTTTCTCCAGCCACCTCTTCCTGGTGAGGTCTGGAGCCGTGTCCTCAGCTGCAGGTGCTGTGGGCTGCGGTGGGTGGCATCTCCCAGGGGCTCTATCTCTTCATGCGCGTGACTGCTTGCCCTTTGGCACACATTCACAGCGTGGAAAACCAGCCGTCCTGGCCCAGCCCTGCGGAGGGCAGGCTCCGTGGGCAGGAGACGCTTCCTCTTCTGCCTCCTCGGAGCCAGGGGCCCCTCTGTGCTGGTCCCAGGTGAAGGTGGGAGAAGTCGCTCCCTCCCCACCAGGGGCCCGGGGCGGGATTCCTGCTTCTCACTGGGACCAGCCTGGGAGCTGGCGACAAGGATGCTGGGCCCAGTCCTGACGCTTTTGGTCATCACAGTGCCAGCTCAGTTACTGGTGCGCGTTCTTGGTCACCGACTGTGCCGCACGTCTCCCAAATCTCATTCAAGGTCGTCTCCCAGCGCCGGAGTCGGGACCGTCTTCCATAACAAGGGTAGATGTTTCCGGTTTTGCCAATCATTGGTCTCTGTTCGAACTACTCGGCTCTGATTCTGAACTTGCGATAGCGTTTGAGTGGACCTGTCTTTGAAGATGTGCACGTGCTAGCTTGCTGACTTGCTGGCACCCTCTAATAAAAAGCGCCGGCCGAGAGCTATCCGGCAGCACTCTTCGGGTGTAGATGTCTGTGTTCTGTCTATCCACTTGACAAACCCCACACAGGCAGAGCCAGGATGTGTCCCAGAACCCACTGATTGCAAAGCCCACGCTCCCATGCACTGCCTCCGGCTGCGTTTCGCCTTTATTTGTTCTGTGAATTTCTCGTGGAAAGAGGGGGGCCTGGGAGTCAAGTCCATGATTTGCCACTCACGAGCTTGTGACCAAGGGCACGTCAATCATGTTCTCTGTTCCTCCCCCAAGGCACAGGGAAGCCATGCTTCCCCCGCTGTGGGGTGACGGGAAGTTGTCAGTGTCAGACCCTGGTTGCTCTGGGTCCCCGAGGACAGAGAGACAAATGACGGGTCCCCAACATGCAATACTAAGGGATATTCAAAGAGCAGTGACTGCACACTCACATTCTTAGCTCGCGCGCGGTCACAGCAGTGAGCTGGTTTGGGCTGCAGGCTGGGGTGTGTGTGGCTTAGAGCCAGACTAAGGATGGCTCCCTTTTGTGCAGGATCCGCAAGCACCTGGAGGCCTTGGCTCCCCCCGGGCCGCCCCCCCCTTGGGCCTGTGCTGTCTGCCTCTGCACAGAGACCTTAAACCCATTCCTCTACCTCCTGGGAGGCTCCTGTGTGCTGCTCCAGCGTCCTTCTGGGGTTTCTTCCTCTGCCCACAGCACCAGGCCTCCCGACTCCCCTGCGTGCTGTGTTACCAACCCTGGGCGAACTCGGGCACTCCCCGGGGGATGTTGCCTCACGTGGGTCCCTTCCAGGAGCCACTGGAGTGGGGGCTGGGCTCCAGCTGCAGGCACTGCCCCCACCCCTGCCCCGGCCAGTGCCCACCTCCGTCCACCTGGGCTGCTGTGGGTGGCATCTCCCAGTGGCTGTCTCTCTTCATGGGCATGGCTGCTTGCCAGAAAGCCCCTCCCTCTGTGGCCCCCAGTGGGCAGCCCTCACCATAGTCCAGCTCCTGCCCAAATGCCCCAGCTTCTGGCTTGCGGGAGACACCTGCTAGCCGCCCAGCCCAGGGCGTGGCCACAGCTCCCTCTCATTACTGCAGCATCCTGTGACCAGTGCCCAGGATTTAAGTCCCTTCTTCTCAAAGCACCTAGAGTGGCCTCTGTCTTCCCAGCTGACCTTGACCAATGTGGGAGGGTGGCATGATTTAGTCCAGCAGGTCCAGGAGGGCCTGGAGGAAGTGGCAGCATTTGATCTGAGAACTGGGCCTGGGAGATCAGTGCCATGGGGTCCAAAGGAAAAGCCGACGTAGTAAAGGAACGGGGGTTGGGGAGGGCATGGGCAGTGTGGCTGTGCCTCTGAGAAAGTGAGGATGCCATGAGGGCGGGCGGAGGGGTTTGCAGGGCTGAATCTGGGCTCTCAGTCCTTGGTGTGCACTTGAACCACCCGGAGACTCGTGTGGGTGCAGGTGCTCAGGCCTCACCCAGGACGCACTGGAGCAGACTTGTGGCCGGCGCTGGTGTGCTGATCATGGGTGGCCAGGTGGAGAACCCTGGAGCCAGCGAGGCCATGGATGCCATGGTCCTTATCTGACCACAGGAAGGCGCGAGGCCGCTGGGCACCCTGGGAAAGTGGGAGGGCCACCTGCATGACCCAAGACTGTCCCTCCGCCAGCTTTTCCTGATGCTCCACACACAAAACCCTCTTGTTGGACCCACCACTCTGCCTCCTGGTGAGTGGAGGCAGCTGTGCGCGCCCGCAGGGACCCAACTCGGCAGAACGAGGATCCCGATCTGCTTTTGACGTTTTGAGCGCCTTTGGCTGTTTTCATCAGAAATATGAAAGATGTGGAGTCAGAATCTTTGGCCAGAGACCCACACCCCCAGAGTTGAAAGCCTTGGCAGTGCTTCCTCCAAACCATGAATGTCAAGTCCAGGAAGACAGACAGCTCTGGAGAGTTGGGGACCCAGATCCTGCTAAGGGCTCACACTGCGTCTCATCTCCACTACCTAGGGCTTTAAAAACCTGAGATTCGCAAATGCCCTGCCTAAAACTCATCCTCACCCTTACTCCCAGGGCCACAGTTATCAGGCTGATGTCCCAAGGATAATCTTTTTACGAAGTTGAACCCACGCACTTTCGCTTCCCTCCTCTCTAAATCCAGGTTCCTTGGTGTGCCTCCTGTAGGGGAGCTGGAAGGCCATGCAAGATCTGCTTTAGAAAGTTGGGGGAGGGAGGGAGGAGGGGAGGGGAGGGTATCGGAGTGGGGAGGGGGCCAGCAGGGTGCTGCGGGCTGGAGCCCATCTTCAGAAAGGTGCCAGGAGGCTCAGCGGAGAGGCGGCTGGGGCTTGAGCTTTTCTGAGTGGCACAGAGGCTGAGTGGGCCGCCAGAGGGCCTGCCTTGGCCACCGATGACTTCAGGGTGACCGCTTGTGAGGACTTTCTTTTGTAAGGATTTTACGTATTTATTTGAGAGGCAGAGTTACAGACAGAGAGAGGGTGAGACAGAGAGAGAGGTCTTCCATCCGCTGGTTCACTCCTCAAATGGCTGCAGCGGCTGGAGCTGAGCCAATCTGAAGCCAGGAGCCAGGAGCTTCTCCCAGGTCTCCCACGTGGGTGCAGGGACCCAAGGACTTGGGCCATCTTCTACTGCTTTCCCAGGCACAGCAGAGAGCTGGATGGGAAGTGGAGCAGCTGGGACTCGAACTAGCGCTCATATGGGATGCCAGCACTGCAGGTGGAGGCTCAGCAATGAGCAATGAGCCACAGCACCAACCCCCTCTCATGAGTTTTGTGACCAACCCAGATACTCCAGCATTGCCTCCCCATTTCAGGATCCAGAGTTTAAGCCGTCTGCAAAGTCTCCCGCCGTGGAAGGTACCACATCCACAGTTCCAGAGGTTAGGAGGTGGAGCTCTTTGGGACAGGTGGGTGGCATCGTTTTTCCTACCACACAGAGTGATTTTTTTTTTTTTTTGGACAGGCAGAGTGGACAGTGAGAGAGAGAGACAGAGAGAAAGCTCTTCCTTTTCCGTTGGTTCACCCCACAATGGCCACTGCAGCTGGCACGCTGCGGCTGGCGCAACGCGCTGATCCGAAGCCAGGAACCAGGTGCTTATCCTGGTCTCCCATGCGGTTACAGGGCCCAAGCACTTGGGCCATCCTCCACTGTCTCCCCGGGCCACAGCAGAGAGCTGGCCTGGAAGAGGAGCAACCGGGACAGAATCCGGCGCCCCGACTGGGACTAGAACCCTGGGTGCCGGCGCCACAGGCAGAAGATTAGCCTGTTGAGCCGTGGTGCCAGCCAATTTCTTTTTTTTTTTTTTAATGTATTTCATAGTTACAGGTTTTTTAAACTTTAGTAAATATAAATTTAGAAAGTACAACTTTTGCATTATAGTGGTTTTTCCTCCCATAACCTCCCTCCTACCCGCAACCATCCCATCTCCCACTCCCTCTCCCATCCCATTCTTCATCAAGATTCATTTTCAATTATCTTTATATACAGCAGATCAACTTAGTATATACTAAGTAAAGATTTCAACAGTTTGCCCCCACACAGATACACAAAATATAAAGTACTGTTTGAAGACTAGTTTTACCGTTAATTCCATGGTACAACACATTAAGGACAGAGATCCTACATGGGGAGTAAGTGCACAGTGACTCCTGTTGTTGATTTAACAGTTGACACTCTTATTTATGATGTCAGTAATCACCCGAGGCTCTTGTCATGAGCAACCAAGGCTATGGAAGCCTCTTGAGTTCACAAACTCCGACCTTATTTAGACAAGGTCATAGTCAAAGTGGAAGTTCTATCCTCCCTTCAGAGACAGGTACCTCCTTCTTTGATGGCCCCTTGTTTCTGCTGGGATCTCACTCACAGAGATCTTTCATTTAGGTCATTTTTTTGCCTCAGTGTCTTGGCTTTCCATGCTTGGAGAGTTTCCATGAGAAACACTCATGGGCTTTTTAGCCAGCTCTGAGTGCCTTAAGGACTGATTCTGAGGCCAGAGTGCTGTTTAGGACATCTGTCATTTTATGAGTCTGCTGTGTATCCCACTTCCCATGTTGGATTGTTCTTTCCTTTTTAATTCTTTTTTTTTTTTTTTGACAGGCAGAGTGGACAGTGAGAGAGAGAGACGGAGAGAAAGGTCTTCCTTTTCTGTTGGTTCACCCTCCAATGGCTGCCATGGCCGGCGCGCTGCGGCCAGCGCAATGCGCTGATCCAAAGCCAGGAGCCAGGTGCTTCTCCTGGTTTCCCATGAGGTACAGGGCCCAAGCACTTGGGCCATCCTCCACTGCACTCCCTGGCCACAGCAGAGAGCTGGCCTGGAAGAGGGGCAACCGGGACAGAATCTGGCACCCTGACCGGGACTAGAACCTGGTGTGCCAGCACCACAAGGTGGAGGATTAGCCTATTGAGCCACGGCGCCGGCCTTTTCCTTTTTAATTCTATCAGTTATTATTAGCAGACACTAGTCTTGTTTATGTGATCCCTTTGACACTTAATCCTATCATTATGAACTTAAACTGATCCCTTTGACTAGTGAGATGGCGATGGTACATGCCACCTTAATGGGATTGATTTGGAATCCCCTGGCACATTTCCAGCTCTACCATTAGGGGTAAGTCCAAGTGAGTGTGTGCCAAACTGTACATCTCTTCCCTCTCTTAGTCCCACTCTTGTTTTTAACAGGGATCAATTTTCAGTTAAATTTAAACACCTAAAAATAATTGTGGGCCGGCGCCACAGCTCAATAGGCTAATCCTCCGCCTGCGGCGCCAGCACACCAGATTCTAGTCCCGGTCGGGGCACCAGATTCTGTCCCTGTTGCCTCTCTTCCAGGCCAGCTCTCTGCTGTGGCCCGGGAGTGCAGTGGAGGATGTCCCAAGTGCTTGGGCCCTGCACCCCATGGGAGACCAGGAGAAGCACCTGACTCCTGGCTTTGGATCAGTGTGGTGTGCCGGCCACAGCACACCGGCCACAGCAGCCATTGAAGGGTGAACCAACAGAAAAGGAAAAGCTTTCTCTCTGTCTCTCTCTCTCACTGTCCACTCTGCCTGTCAAAAAAATTAAAAAAAAAGAATAATTGTGTGTTAATTAAAGAGTTCAACCAATGGTATTAAGTAGTACAAGAAAATACTAAAAAGAATAAAACAGTGAGTTGTTCCTCGACAGTCAGGACAAGGGCTGATCAAGTCATTGCTTCTCATAGTGTCCATTTTACTTCTACAGGTTTCCTTTTAGGTGCTCGGTTAGTTGTCACTGATCAGGGAGAACATATGATATTTGTCTCTTTGGGACTGGCTTATTTCACTCAGCATGATGTTTTCCAGATTCCTCCATTTTGTTGCAAATGACCAGATTTCATTTTTTTTACTCCTGTATAGTATTCTATAGAGGATATATCCCATAATTTCTTTATCCAGTCTCTGTTGATGGGCATTTAGGTTGATTCCATGTCTTAGTTATTGTGAATTGAGCTGCAGTAAACATTGAGGTGCAGACATCTCTTTTATTTGCCAATTTAATTCCCTTTGGATAAATTTTGAGGAGTGGGATGGCTGGGTTGTATGGTAGGGTTATATTCAGGTTTCTGAGGAATCTCCAGACTGACTTCCATAGTGGCTTAACCAGTTTGCATTCCCACCAACAGTGGGTTGGTGTCCCTTTTCCCCTACATCCTCGCCAGCATCTGTTATTGGTAGATTTCTGTATGTAAGCCATTCTAACCAGGGTGAGGTGAAACCTCATTGTGGTTTTGATTTGCATTTCCCTGATTGCTAGTGATCCTGAACAGTTTTTCATGTGCCTGTTGGCCATTTGGATTTCCTCTTTTGAAAAATGTCTATTTAGGTCCTTGGCCCATTTCTTAAGTGGGTTGTTTGTTTTGTGGTTGTGGAGTTTCTTGATCTCTTTGTAGATTCTGGTTATTAATCCTTTATCAGTTGCATAATTTTCAAATATTTTTTCCCATTCTTTTGGTTGCCTCTTCACTTTCCTGACTGTTTCTTTTGTAGTACAGAAACTTCTCAATTTGATGTAATCCCAATTGTTAATTCTGGCTTTAACTGCCTGTGCCTCTGGGGTCTTTTCCAAGAAATCTGCCTGTGCCTATATCTTGCAGGGTTTCTCCAATGTTCTTCAATAATGTGATGGTGTTGAGTTGTAGCTTTAGATCTTTAATCCATGTTGAGTGGATTTTTGGGTAAAGTGTAAGGTAGGGGTCTTGCTTCATACTTCTGCATGTGGAAATCCAGTTTTTCCAACTCCATTTGTTGAATAGACTGTCCTTGCTCCAGGAATTGGTTTTAGATCCTTTCTCAAATATAAGTTGGTTGTAGATGTTTGGATTGATTTCTGGTGTTCCTATTCTGTTCCATTGGTCTATCCATCTGTTTCTGTACCAGTACCAGGCTGTTTTGATTACAATTGCCCAGTAGTATGTCTTGAAATCTGGTATTGTGATGCCTCCGGCTTTGTTTTTGTTGTGCAAGACTGCTGTAGCTATTCCAAGTCTCCTGGGCCTCCATATGAATTTGAGCACCATTTTTTCCAGATCTGAGAAGAATGTCTTTGGTATTTTGATTGGGATCACATTGAATCTATAAATTGCTTTGGGGAATATGACATTTTGGTGATATTGATTCTTCCAATCCATGAACATAGAAGATTTTTCCATTTTTTTGGTATCCTCTTCTATTTCTTTCTTTAAGGTTTTGTAATTTTCATCATAGAGATCTTTGAATCCTTGGTTAAGTTTATGCCAAGGTATTTGATTGTTTTTATAGCTATTGTGAATGGGATTGATCTTAGAAGTTCTTTCTCAGCTGTGGCATTGTCTGTGTATACAAAGGCTGTTGATTTTTGTGCATTGATTTTATGTCCTGCTACTTTGCCAAACTCTTCTATGAGTTCCAATAGTCTCTTAGTAGAGTTCTTTGGATCCCCTAAATAATCATATCATAGATTTGAGGGATAGTTTGACATCTTCCTTCCCAATTTGTATCCCTTTAATTTCTTTTTCTTGCCTAATGGCTTTGGCTAAAACTTCTAGTACTATATTGAACAGCACTGGTGATAGTGGGCATCCCTGTCTGGCATCGGATCTCAGTGGAAATGCTTCCAACTTTTCCCCATTCAATAGGATGCTGGCTGTGGGGTTTTCATAAATTACCTTGATTGTGTTGAGGAATGTTCCTTCTATACCCAATTTGCTTAGAGTTTTCATCATGAAAGGGT